GAGACTAAAAGCAGCTACCCAAGGTCTGAGGGCGAAGTCGTACTGCTGACTGCAGACGGGTGTGACAGCAGTAAGGTGTTTCCCTCGGACAAAAAGCATCTGCAGCGATGCTGCCTTCTCACAAGGAAGGAAGGGTTAGAAAAGGTCGGCCCTAAAAATGTCACACCTCCCCTACCTCACGGATTTCCGTCTCCTTGGGTAAGGGTGCCCACTAAGGGCCTTTAAGAACGGAGCTAATCCTCTAAATACCTCTCATAAAAAGGCCGTGCGTGACCGGCCTCAAGCAGTTGTCCCTTGGACTCTGCGGTCACGCACCAACACTAATCCATCTTCCTTTTCAGGTTCGTCAAGAAACAACCTTCCACGGTGTGGGCAGCCGGGAAGTGATAACCGCCCTCATACCCGCAACAGCACACGAGACAAAATTGTTCAAAATCAAATCCTTCCTACATTCCCTAATACCTCTCTTACCTCCACAACTAACTCTTCTCACATTCATTTATTACAGAGCACAGCTAATGCAAACGATGCGAGTTTGCGAAACGTCGTTCCTGGTCTCCTTAAACCCCGTTCCAAACTACATGTTGGAGCATTCAATGTACGGACATTGTGTCAAATAGGGCAACAGGCATCATTAGCTAGGACTTTAGAATCTCGTTCCATCGATGTGTGCTGCGTCTCGGAAACGCGCATACAGGATCCGAGTAGCATCACTCATTTGACCTCACCATGTCAAGATAAAGAAGCAGCTCGATTTACCCTTCGTGTATCCGGTAGCCCTGATGCTGCTTCTAGGGGCCTCGCCGGTGTAGGTATAGCATTGAGTCGTAGGGCAGAACAATCTCTCCTTGACTGGATCCCTGTAGATAGTCGCTTGTGCGCCGTCCGACTGAACGGGACAGTAAGGACTCGGAAAGATAGGGACACTCGCCCTTGCCTCTTCGTCATATCAGCCTATGCCCCCACTGACTGCAGCCCAGATGATGTAAAAGATGAGTTTTACAGAAAGCTTTCGGACCTCCTCCAAAAAGTTAAGCGCTCTGATATAGTTATAATGGCTGGTGACTTCAATGCACAAGTAGGTAGACTAAGTGAAAATGAAAGACACCTAGGTGGATGTTACGGTCTCGCGGCTCAAAGAACAGACAATGGCGACCGTCTGTTGCAACTGTGCTCAGATAACCGCCTATTTCTAGCAAACACTAATTTTAAGCATAAGGAAAAACACCTTTTGACCTGGCGACCCCCGAAGTCGTCTCAACGTTGGACACAACTAGATCATATCGCCATCAGCCACCGATGGAGGGGTTCGATAGAGGACTGTCGCTCGTTCTGGGGCACATGTTTAGATTCAGATCATGCCCTAGTGCGAGCACGTATTTGTTTGAGGCTTACTGGACGTAGGAAAGACACCGTGAGGAAGCCTCTTACGATTTTACTTAATGATAATAAAGCTAAGAATATATTTCAGGAGGAACTAGAAAAACAGTTAGGCGGCCATGCAAGTGATTCCCATCCGGAGGCAGGTTGGAATCATATCAAGAAGGCTGTGGAAACAGCAATGGTATCTGCTAGCAAGGTAAACCATAAGGCTAGGATGAAGCCGTGGATTTCAGTCGCATCCACCGAACTGATGGATGCACGAAAACGCATCCCACCTGACTCTGAACATGATGAAGAGCGTACTCAACTTAGGCGCAGACTTATAAAAAGCCTATGTAACGACCGTGAACAGTGGTGGGTGGCGAAAGCAAAAGCGATGGAAAAGGCAGCGGCGATAGGCAACACTAGACAACTTTTCCGCCTTATCAAAGAAACCGGTATTAGGAACCCGAATGTAAGTGAGACTATCTCGGAAAAGGATGGTCTTATTATCCATTCTAAATCTAGGAGGCTGGACCGATGGGCAGAACACTTTAGGGATCAGTTCAACTGGCCTTCAGCCACTCTTCGGTTGCCCACGATCTCCAGTCATCCTGAATGGCAAATCGATTTAAGTCCTCCCAGTTTACATGAAGTTGAGAAAGCTATAGGAAATCTAAGGAGAGGTAGAGCGGCAGGTCCCGATAGGCTTACCCCTGAGATGTTTAAGGATGGTGGTCCAGTTTTAACGGTTAGACTGACCGAGATCCTAGGTAGAATCTGGGAACTGGACCTAATCCCATCTGACTGGTCTCAGTCGCTAATTGTCCCAATCTACAAGAAAGGACAGAAGTCCTCTTGTGACAATCACAGGGGAATAAGTCTAACTAATATAGTTTCTAAATTGTTAGCCTCGATTATACTTAGACGTCTAACTAGAGCTCGCGAAGAGCAGACTCGAGAAAACCAGGCTGGTTTTCGACCTGGACGTGGTTGTATAGACCACATCTTCACACTACGACAGGTCCTGGAACACAGACACACATTTAGACGTCCGACAATAGTCGTGTTCCTGGACCTTAAGGCGGCATTCGACTCAGTGGATCGTGAGGTTCTGTGGCAGTGTCTGTCATTGAAAGGTGTACCAAAGAAGTACATTAACCTTATACAAGCACTCTACTCGACACCACTGGTCGGGTGAGAGCATATGGCGAACTGTCATCTGAATTCTCTACATCAAGTGGTGTCCGTCAGGGCTGTCCACTCTCTCCATTCTTGTTCAACTTTGTCGTAGACATCCTCTTAGAGTTAACATTAAGATCGTCAGAATTTTCAGGGGTTGACCTTCTACCAGGAAAGTCGCTTACTGATCTAGAATATGCCGATGACATAGTTCTATTCGGTGAAGACGCTGACAAAATGCAGAGTCTTCTGACTACCATAAGCAACAATGCGAGCATGTTCGGGATGCGGTTTTCCCCCTCGAAATGCAAAATGTTGCTTCAAGACTGGGTTGCTTCGGCACCTGAACTAGTGATAAGGAGTGAAGTAGTCGAGCGTGTTGATCACTTCACTTATCTGGGGAGTCTCATCAGTGCTGACGGTCTGGTGACTGACGAAATCTCAGCTCGGATACAGAAAGCTCGATTGGCTTTTGCCAACCTGCGTCACTTATGGCGTAGGCGTGATATCCGTTCGCTAACCAAAGGGCGGGTGTACTGCGCATCAGTTCGTTCCGTTCTCTTATATGGCTGTGAAACATGGCCGTTAAGAGTAGAAGATGTTCGTAGGTTACTAGTATTCGATCATAGATGTTTAAGAAGCATTGCTCGTATATCGTGGGACAACCGAGTAAGCAATGCTGTCGTTAGGAAACGAGTACTAGGTAAGGATGGCAGATCAATCGATGAAGTGGTGAAACTTCATCAGTTGAGGTGGTTGGGACATGTGTTACGTATGCCTAACCACCGACTGCCTCGACGAGCTATGTTTTGTGGTGTAGGAGTAGGTTGGAAGAAAGCTAGGGGCGGCCAGACCAAAACATGGCAGAAATCCATGAAGTCACTGACAAGTGGACTGAGTCATGTTGGTAGATGTAGGCTACCTGGTTGGGGTCCGCGAGACGAAAGTCATCAATGGTTAGAGACCTAGAACGACATGGCTCAAAATCGTTTGCAATGGCGCAGGTGCATCCACTCTTTGAGCTCTCTCAAATCCTAATCTTCTGGATTAGCCAGCACCTCTACCTTTGTCTTTCTAACCTTATCTCACTGAATTATATTTTTTTGAATAATATCTTAAACCCTAGTCTTCTTTATTATAACATTATTACCTCCACTATCTTTATCACTATGGGATTTGATTTGACATTTGCGTCTCTGTGCTAATAATGTGGTATGGCAACATGAACTTATGTATATACGTACGAAGTTCTACGTTGCAACTGACTGACTGACTGACTTTTATCTCTAGTGGAGTCATGGATGTTCTCTGTTGAATAGTTACATATTCACATACAGAAGCTATCCAATGCTTTCAAATTCTTGAATGGTTGTTTAGACAAAGTCATTCTGTGATTTAAAACTCTAGAAACAGTTGTGCTCATTAGACCCGCTTAAAATTAGGATATTACTCTAAGGAGCGAATCTCCACATTAGTCTTAGAGCTAAGAAAAAAAATAATGCTACGGAGATGGGAAATTTTTTTATTTTCAAGATCATTTATTCATCGTCTAAAAGATAACTAGTTATAATGTTACTTGGATTGAACATTGTATATACAAATAGTAGTTTTGTGGTGTGAGCTACTTTTAAGTAGTATATGACGTGAGTGTCAATGTAATGTCTGGCAGCAGAAGATGGGGGAAGATCAAGAAAGGAAGAGTTAGAACACAATGGAATTTGTATGAAACGCATGAATAGTGACAATAGATTTATGTTTTGCAACAGGAACAGTCCAGTTCGATATGATGGACTGATATTTTGCAAATTAACGATTTACGATATGGTTTTCCAATTTTACTGAGTAACTCTGTAATTTTCGTTAAATACAATCCGGTTGCCCCACCTGTGTTCTCCTTCACTACAGTTTTATTCACTTAATATTTATTTATATACGCTAAAGACTTTATTTTATGAAATCAAGTTGATTTTATTCTGTCTGGAGACTAATTGAGTGAGTTATTTGTCAGATAAACTGCTTAAATGATCTATTTGAATAATTAATTAACTGATTCGCCTTAAAATACTAATAAAAAAATTCTATTATAAATGTAAGCTGCAAACTGTTTGTATTAAAGTCTAGTAATAATAACTGGTTGCCTAAACTAAAAGTCATGAAACAGTACTGCGATATGTGGACCTAGTAGTTAAAATATATGTGCCTTTACCACCACCAGATTACTGCTACAACTTTTAAGTAGGATAATATGAATATATATTAGTAATTCAGACACTAACCTTTAACTCTAAACGTGCTTGTTCATTATCGAATGAAGTAAGATACATTGATGTTTCATTCAGCCAATTCTGCATATTTTCTAACCGAGCTAAAATGTCATCCACAAACTATAAAATAGGAAAGTGGAAAGTAAACAATTAATCAGAAAACTATGCCTTGTATAAAATTTGTACTGAATAACTTAGACAATACATATTTAACCGAAGTAGTCCGATTGAATAATGTCAATGACATGGCTCAAAACTGTTTGCAATGACGCAGGTGCATTCACTATTTGTGTTCTTTCAATCCTAACCTCAGGAGTTCCTCATCATCTTTATCGTTTTAAAATTATTTCACTAGATTCTACTTCTTGAATAATATCCTTGAACCCTAATCTTTACGATTACTGGGATCTGAATTGACAATTGCATCGCTGTGCTAATGTGGTATGGCAACTTGAACTGATGTATGTACGTGCGAAGTTCTACGTTGCTGTTGATTGACTGATTGATTGAACAGTGTGAATTGTCAGTCATACGAAACAAAGAACTTGTCATATATGTGCATCTTTTAGCCTACCACACCACAGCGAAACGCAAGAGTAATATATAGAGAAACAGCATTAATGATAGTGGAAAGGAATAAGGATAGAAAATATAATTAAAGAGAAACTACGAGTTCGTGGAATAGAAAATTACGATGAGTATGGAACCCGGCCCCAACATACATGAGCAGCAATCCAAAGATATCTGTAGTCAAATGCTAGTATGCTACGATTATCCTCTATTCCTAATGGTTAAATATGCCAACCACAAAGTAAAACAGAGAGATCTGTTTGACAGTATACTCGTTATTTGACTGGCCAATGTCACGAGTGACGTAAGTCAGCGAAATTCAACAGAGATTTCGTTAAGGAATAACCCAATGTGGCTTATGAGACTCAAGATCATTGTGAAGCGGTCGACGTGACCAACTACTTTACACCCAAACATAATTTTAAGCATTGATACACATCACTTTAGTGAGAAACGGACCCTAGATATAATTTAATTGTTGTGCAAGGCGATCAGTGTCTAGAATGAACAAAACTATGTCATTTACGTATTCCAAATGAATCTCCTGGGAGATTAATCTCTAAAAATTCAGACAACCAAAGTATTATATTGAAAAGGTCTCTAAAAAAGTCAAATTGAAATGTAGAAAGGAGACAACTCTGACGAAAACCATTTGATTTTACCTATTATGATGACGTTCACCATAAACTCTGATCTGACTAGTATTCATGCATTAGGCACTTTTATATATTCCCAAATGACTGGACTGCACCCAAAGCAATATGTCTAGGAAGATACTATTGATACAGGAGTGTATCTAATGCAACTGAGTATATCAGACACGACAATGCACTGACAACATTGCACCTTATACACAAAGGAAAGACTGGAGCATTTACAAGGCAGTTGTTATCTTCTAAGAAATGGTAATGAAATAAATTAAGACCATTTCATACAGAGTATTCATTTGGTTAGTAGGAAGAAACAAGAACTACATAAAGAATTGATATGCTTGTAGGCTATTACAAGTTCAACTTACTCGGTAGCAGAACGAAGACAAATGATGCAGTGACACGATAGGTCATTCTAATCCATTTGTCCCCGACCCGGCTAACTATATCAAGAAGTCCATCAACTAATGACAGTCAAGGATTTTCCGAGTGGTAATTGTAACCCCACGGTCAACTAAGCAGCTTATGCGCGAAAACACATAAAGTCCAAAATTAGAACCTTTATCAAGTGAGGTCTGGGGATCTAACGTCCCCAACAGGAATTTTGAGATTAGTATTATGCGATAACTTATATTCAAGATAAAAACTAATATTTTTTTTCAGTTTGGTGCTCACTATCAACGAATAAATCATACTAGACACTTGTATTCAACAAAAAATATAAATGTAACCAATAAAATAAAAAGAGAAATAATTTTACTGATAATAATTATCCAATCAACCAAAATAACAATCAACTTCAAATAGTACAAACTATGAATGAATACTAACCTGAGTACGTTCATTCATTGGTAAATTAGAATTTTGTAATTTTTTTGTGATATCATCTAAATCTTTAATAATAGCTAATTTATATTGAGTGAATTGTTGTAAAAAATTCTCATGAGTATTTTTATTCCCATGTGAATCAATATTTTCATTGTTTAATATTTTTTTCTGTTGATTCTGTGTATGACGTTCATTTAAACGATTTAATACAGTTTGACGATTATCATTGATAGTTGATGACAAATTTTCATTTCCTGATGATATTTGACTGGAATTCATTATTCACAATATAATCTGTTTTAAAATGTTAAGTATTTCTTCTAAAAAGAATAAGAAAAGGATAATACGTTTATTGATGCGCTATCGAACTCCATAACATTCGAAACAGTAACGGAATGAAAATTAACCTTAATAAAGGACAAATGTATACATTTGACTTTGAGTCACAAGGTTGATGCATTTGAACTCAAATAAGTGGAACGTTTCTTCAAGCTACGGTTGATGGTTGAAATTTAAATGTCTTAACTCATAAGTCACCATCGATTATAAATAGAATTGAAAGTTCAATATATCTTTCTTTACGATTTTTTTAAATTTACTTATTTTCAATTAGTTTTCAGTGGTAAATAGTGAACTCGGTAGGTAAATTGGCATAAGTAATTTTTTTATTATATCATTATCTTGTTATGATATAAACTATGTCCATTCGAATACTGACAATAGTGATGTTTTTGAGAGTATCTACTTCATAATTCTTTTTTTAAGTTATTATGGACTAGGATATTCTTTAAGTTATTTGAATACACAGGGTTGTGTATTGTTCTATAAGTAAAACATGGCCGAAGGACAGAGATGTATTGTTAGTAAAATTAACCAAGGAGTATTTAGAAAGTTAATGTAGATATGAATCACTCGTTAAAAATAACCAACCACCAAAGGCTATGCACTAATATGCAGTAAGCGGAAAGATACATATAAGGGGAATTTATAAGATGAAATACAAAGGAGAGGGAATAACACTAATGATAACAAAAATCCAAACAAAAGTAATCAAGTTTAAAAGAAATAGACGAGATACAAAAATTAATAATATGGAATGTTAGTAAGATCTAATAAACTTGATGAAATAGAAGACGAATACATGTCTTTCATTATGAATCAGTTTAATACAAGTCATTCAGTTTCCAATAATAATTAACAAACATTTCTCAGAGAAATTAAAACTTGCACTTAGATCAAAATTCAAGGACTTCATGGACTGACGCCATGGCTTGGTCTCATTGAACTGCTCAAAAGTTTGGACAACTTATTTTCCAACTGTGTAAATATTGCAATAAACTTTTAGTTAATAGTTGTTTGAAACAACTAACCTTAACTTAATGCAACATAACCACCTCAACTGATGAATTTTCAATATTTCATCTATTAATTTGCTATCCCTACCTAGTAGTCGTTTCCTAACGACAGCATTGCTTATTCGGTTGTCCCAGGATAAACGAGCAATGCTTCGGAGACACCTATGATCGAAGACAAGCAATCTACGAGTGTCCTCTACTCTTACCGGCCATGTTTCGCATCCGTATAGGAGAACGGAGAGAACTACAGCGAACGTTTATCTCGCCTACGCCATAAACGGCGTAAATTGGCAAAAGCAGATCGGTGCTGAGATTTCGCCAGTCACCAGTCCATCCGCACTGATGAAACTCCCAAGATAAGTGAAGCGGTCTACACGTTCGACAACTTCAATCCCTATCACTAGTTCCGGTGAAGTCGCAAGCCAATCCTGAAGCAACATTTTGCATTTCGAGGGGGAAAACCGGATCCCGAACATGCTTGCATTGTTGTTCAGGGTAATCAGAAGACTGCATTTTGTCAGCGTCTTCACCAAATAGAACTATGTCATCGGCATATTCTAGGTCAGTAAGCGATTTTCCTGGTAGAAGGTCTACTCCTGAAAATTCAGACTAATATGATGTTACATCTAGGAGCATGTCTATGATAAAATTAAACAAGAATGGATAGAGTGGACATCCCTGACGGACACCACTTGAAGTGAAGAATTCCGGTGACGGTTCGCCATAAGCTCTCTCCCGACGTGTAGTGTTCAAGTAGAGGGCTTGTGTAAGGTTAGTGTACTTCTCTGGTACACCTTTCAATGACAGACACTGCCACAGGACCTCACGATCCACAGAGTCAAATGCCGCCTTAAGGTCCAGGAAGACAACTATTGTCGGACGCCGAAATGTGTCTGTTTTATAAGGACTGACAGAATGGAGACAGGTTTTAAACAAAAGTTGTTCAGATTGTACTGGGTGCTTGCTGGGGTTCATAAATTTAGGAAACTGACCAGAGCATACGAGCGTACCCTTTATTTCTTTCTAAAGTTCAAAATAATGGGAGGGGAATGCCTTTGGTCGTCAATAAATAATGTGTAAATTAGAATGTTTTGTTTTAATAAATGTGTTTAGATACTTATAAAATTCTTGATACAACGGTTTCACGAACAAATTTTCAACTGTTATACAATGATCCTCATTATATGTTGCTTTTTCTTTCGCTGATCGAAAACTGTTACAAAACCACTACTCACTTAAGTGCGCCTTCGAATTCGCAACCCAACAGTTGAATGAATAATAGTGACGATTACTTCATTATCCATGGCTACACTACGACGTTTTGTATGAGTACAGTTTTCAAAGCATTAAATTGAACTTTACATTCATGTCACATAAATCGGTGATCCAATTTGAATTCATAAACAAAGGTGTACCTTAGAGCGATGATAACGAAAGTAATTTACTAATGCGATAGATACTATTATTATGGTCATCGAATTATGGACTGATTATTTTCGCAATAACCATGATGATGAAAAGAGGATTCACAAATATTCGTTTATATAATTCCTCTTTCGCATTACCTGATTTGATCCGACCATCCAAGTGGTATCATAGACCCGAATGTAGCTGCTACCTTGACATGATGGTCGGGCTTGCCTATTAAGATGACCCAACTGGGCTATATTGGCTGGCACACATGTTCCTGAAGCTTCTACCATGCCAGGCATGTCGATTGAAAAACGATGAGACTAAGGCCAGCTACTCAACGTCTGAGGGCGTTCCTACTGCCGTCTGTAGAGGGGGGTGATAGCAGTAAAGTGTTTCCCTCGGACAACCAGCATCAGCAGCGATGCTTCATTCTCACAAGGAAAGAAGTGTTAGAATAGGCCGACCCTAAAAATGTCACACCTCACGGATTTCCGTCTCCGGTGGTAAGGGCTTTTAAAAAAGAGAAGGGCTAACACTTCGAAAACTTCTCATAAAAATGCCGTGCGTGACCGGTCTCAAGCAGTTGTCCCTTGGGCACTGCAGTCACGCTCCCAGGTCTCCAAGACCAACACTACCTTCTTTTTCAGGTCCCTCAAGAGACACCCACGGTGTGGGCAGCCAGAAAGTGAGATCCGTCCTCATACTCGTAACAGCACATGAGAACAAATTGGTCACAATCAAATATTTCTTACACACCCTAATACCTCTCTTCTCTCCACAACTAACTCAGATCTAGTGCTATTGCGCATTTGTTTGCGACTTACTGGATGTAGGAAAGACACCACAAGAACCTATTAGGGTTCAACCTAATGACAGTCTTTCTCATCCGGAGGCAACTTGGGACGATATCCAAAAAGCTGTAAAAACAGCAATGATATCTGCAAGTAAGGTAATCCATAAGGTCAGGGGACAAGCAATGAATCTCGGTAGCATCTATCAAACTGAGTTTTATGTTGTAACTGAATGGCTGTGACTTGAAGACACTCTCACAAGATCAAGGCTTTTTATGAGGCTTTAGAATAACAAAGATTGATGTGTCCCCTTAATTTTGGCATCAAATTGTGATAATTGGCACCAACAATTTCTGAAAAGCAATAGAAGATATAGAGCTTCAAGTTCAAAAATCAATGTTTTCCTTTATAAGATAAACCTATAAGATAAAGAGCCAAAGTTCCAATAATTAAGACAGTGTGCCCTATAATAACTTACTAAGAATGGCAAAGTAATATTCTCCTCATGGAAAATTATCTTTTTAGTTGTAGGTCTACAATGAACTAAATGTCTTGTTTAACAACACCACAGTCTTTATCTGTAAAATAGGAAGCGCTAAACTAAACTAAACCAACAACAACAAAAAGCCCAGAACTACAGAAATACCCTACTGGTGTGTATACCGTATAATTTAAAAAGGTTGTAAGCATATAACATAAAAAAATCAACGGGATAACTAGCAAACAACCAACAACACAAAAAGAAAGAATAAAAAGAGAATTACATCATTACATTACTCTATATTAAGGACTTCAACGTGCTTGTGAAATACAAGCTTACAAAATAATAAGATAGTAAAATATATTTGTTACAGTTGGAGAGAGAGAGAGAGAGAGACAGATACATACATACATACATGAATACAATGGAATACATTGTATTCTCTTGGTAGGAAAGTAAAACGTAGGAACATGATTTCTTAGTTTTGTTTTTTTTTAAAAAGAACTATGACAATGATCATGTATACGGATGATGCTGCTGATGAGGAATGATGAAAGGGGGTTGAATAAATGAAAACAAGAAAAGAATTTCGTTGAAAAATGTAGAGTAACTGAGAACAATTTAAAAAGAAAAAAAGAAATTAATCAGTCCCAGTGAAGTTCTGTTTGGTTCGTTCTTTTTCTCCATTCACAGTATCAAGTGGATGAGATTCACCAACAGAGAATAATAACTTAGGTTTTTGAGTTGGTGGACTATTTTGAGATGACAAATGACTACTGGATCGTTTAGATGACAATAAAGGAGATGTGTTTTGTTTTCTTGTACGATTTGACGATTCTGTATAGATAGCATGATGTTGATCTTCTTCCATTAATTGAGGTTCATCACCTAAAGCAAATGTTTCACTAGCATCTGATAATTCACCAGCTTCTAAGTCTTGACGATGTGAATTATGAAAGTTTTTATTGGTGAGTGCATCGGATAAACGTGGTGAACTATAACTGGTAGTATGATGTTGATGTGTAGAAGCCCTAGAACTATTAAACTTAGTTTCCTTGGAAATATCAGTTATTGAAGACCATCGATCATCATTACCTTTACCATGTTCATCTTTATTATAATTCTTGTCAGAATCATCAGTTTTATTTATCTTATTATCTGATGGATCATGAATACTTGATGCTAAACGACGACGTGATTGCATAGTTTCTTCAAATTCTGTTTCTAGTTTTTTCCGACGACGAGCAATGAGAGCTGGAACAATAAGTATTCAAAAAAAAAATAAAATAGAATAAACAAAAGTGCAACACCAACTTTTTAAGTATCATTAATTATTAGGTTGTTACAAGAGTTAAATTATCAACCATCAACGCTTAACTTGGAATGTATATGTTTGCTGAAGTAGGCCATATTACATTAACACAAGACTGACAACAACCACACCAAAAGAATCACAAAGAAACTATTCACTATAACATTAATCCTTTCAGTAAGTGATGCACTTGACCGATAAAAATGAAGTACGACAACAAAATGGTGAGTAATTCTCTATCACAACATTTGAAAAAGGAGAAAAATAGTACAAAATAGTAAAGTTTTAGTTACATTGAGAATAGGATATTAACTAAAATATCAGGAATAAATGTAAAATATGCTTCACTTCAATCATTTTGTTTTAGGTGTTAAGAGTAGGTTATGACTCGTCAATTGATATGCTTGAACTGCTACGAGAGCTAGGACAAGTGATCCAGTGACACGATAGGCTACGCTAATCTGAGCGTCCCAAGGCCCAAGGTTAACGGTATCAAAAAGTCTTGATATGGCGTAGAAAGTGTATTCTACAAGCACCCAGAAAATATGAAGTTTTGTTCAGAAGAAGAAGAAGAGCATAAAACTTTACAAACAATGCATATTTATACAGTTAGGTCGACCGTGAATACTAAGCAATAGGAAACAACATTTAAAAGTATGTGAACTTCATAAGTTAGGACGACAAAATAATTTCTTTAGGATATTTGATGAATATCCTAAGAGTAGCATTTTTATCAATCAAACAATACCTATGACTTCAAATACAGTACACAAGTTTTCATTGAACCATGTGAACTTACAACTTATAATACATATGCAAGTTTATCATATCTGTCAGCTATAGGGTTATATATAAATAATACCACATCTTAGAATGGAGATGCCTGTCTGTGTATTTGACTCACAAAAATGTAAATCATCACAGTATGAGTATGGATGGGAATAAAAAAGGTGGATGTTAAGGATGTTGGATCACCAGAACTCGCTTGATAAATATCTTTATTTTGGATTTGTTTCATGGACCGATCAGTTGACCTTGTGAATACATTTCCCACCAAGAAAATCCTTAGCCATGATTGGTTACTTTGTCATTTAGGTGTGCTTTTTATGATTGTCCCAACGACGTCCCTATATAGTATAAATAAACGCAACTTAAGTGCTTGGATGCATTGTGTGCTGGCTGGGTGTTGGTAGAATACACTTTCTATGCTATATCAAGACTTCTTGCTGATACAATCGGAACAATGGGATCACAGTAGCCTACCTGGACGATGGTTATTTGTTCTCGTTATTCGACTAAGGTGAACCCGTCATAGTTTAAGCATACCTAGAGACGAGCATAACAGTGGATCACTACACTCACTGGTATATAGTGAGTTTTTTAGTGTAATATATATATATATACATACCAGTATCACCAAGTCTAGTTAAGAGTAATAGGTGAACTGAACTCTAGAATTGATGACAATTGAAAATGAAGTTCTTATGTGATTGTAACATAAATAAGAATGAATAGTGTAGAATTTCAGATAAATAATAATAATAGTGTAAAAATGAACAACCAACCGTCGATAGCGCGAACTGTTACTTCTATGCGCCATTTCGACTCTTCATTGTGAATTTTTGGACGATAAAATATATATGGTGGCTTTGAAGTACGGCAGAAACCTTTCATTTTTTCCTGTTGCTCTTTCCATATTTCAAACTAAAATAGGAAACAATTTCAATTTAACGATTTATAATATCAACAAACTGGGTTTATGTTTGTAGTAATGTTATCTATTATAATTCAGAAACCTTAAATATCTAGTTTATAGAAGATTATCAATTCAAAAATGAGACTAAAAAAGAGACAAATCTGACTTGACAACCATATAAGAATTCACATCAGTGTGAGCAAAACCTACCAAGTAGGAAAATAGTAAAGGTATCGAGATGATATTATCAAGACATTCCATAGTAACAGAAGTAGCTACTGTAATCACCAGTAGTAGCAGAAATGATTAGCCAGAAACAATATGATTGGAGAATAAATTTGTTGAATCAAAAAGTGTTAAGTAACTTCAGGACTTGAGATATAAGAAGAGATGAAGAGTGAATTGATCTGTGCCATTAAGAATGATTCTCAGCCCAGTTACCCAACGTTTCCATCTAATCGGAAAGATAGCCGCGCAGAATTCGACCAGATAGTCTGCACCTATATACATAGCTCAGTACAACCAACGGTTTCATGGACTAATGTTACTTCTTAGTTTGACTGTCTCTAGCTTTCGGTAAATTTACTCTTACACAAGCCAACATCACTCATCGAGGTAGGTACAGATAGGGAGTATGTAATGTGTCCCAACAACCTCAGAAGAAAGCTAAGGGCAGCCAAATTAAAACATGTGACCTGTCCGTGAAGTTATTGAAAACTGGACTGAGCCATGCTAATAGAGGAACGCGTGATTATCTTAACCAGGGGCAAGAGACTTTGAATGACATAGCTCAAAATCGTTTATAACGGTGCAGATGCATTTATTCTTTGTCTTCCCCAAATTCTAAGCTTTAGGATTCCTTATGATCTTTCTTTTCCTTTTCAAAGATTTATTTCACTGGTTTATATTCTCCGGAGTTTTATTTTTGATCTTTAATCTTTCTCATTATTAATAATACTCTTACTACCTTTACCACTCTTGGATTTGGTCCAAGAGATTAATTATTAATTAATTTTAATTAATTAATCTTAATTTTTAATCTGGGGGTGTCAGTAAGAACCAGGAACAACTGTGCTACTCCGGAACCCTGAACTAAGACAAAATAGCTGTTCAGTGCTCCCTAGCTGTCAGTGGTATCTAATCTGAGAGGAATCTGTGACGAATATCATATAACGTGAAGTACATTTAGGGAATAAGATTTTATCTTACATCAAGACAAGTCAATATATTTGAATGACTTTTCATCAATGAAATTTAGTATTACAAAGTAATGGCTTTTCATGCGCTGTGTTGTTGGGAATCACGTCTCTTCCATGTTGTACATCTCAGGGTAACAAATTTAAGGAGTAAATGATGTGATTCAGTAACGAAATACATGTTAATGCGTTTTGCTATGAGTAATAATTTGGACATTAAATGGCTGAAAGAAGAGTTGATCAGGGAGATAAGAAATTTATTAAAAGGTGTAGGAAGGATTTGATTGTGACTAGTTCGAACTCGTGTGTTTTTACGAGTATGACGGTGAATGTCACTTTCCGACTGCCCACACCATGGAACGGTACTTTTTGAGGAACCTGAGAAGTAAATTAGAATGGTGTTGGTTTTAACAACCTGGTAGTGTGACCTCAGAGCCTAAAGCGACAACCGCTTGAGGCCGGTTACGCGTGGCCTTTTTAATGGAGGCTTTAAACGTGTTAGCTTCGCTCTTGTTTGAAAGGCCTTACCGCCGGAGACGGAAATCCGACGGGTAAATTGAAGTGTGATACGTTTAGGGTCGACCTTTTCTAACCCTTCCTTCCTTGTGAGAAGGCAGCATCGCTGCAGATGTTGGTTGTCTGAGGGAAACACCTTACTGCTGTCACAGCCCTCTACAGTCAGCAGTAGGACTTCGCCCTCAGACCTTCAGCTGTTGCTTATAGTCTCATCGTTTCCCGATCGACCTACCTGGCATGGTAGAACCTGCAGGAACTTATAGCTCGATTGGGTCATCACAATAGACAACCATGTCAAAGTAGCAGCTACAATAGGGTCTGTGATACCACTTGGATGGTCGGACCAAATCAGGTAAGGCGAAACAGGAATCAGCAACATAATGATTGAAAATCTAAAAAGACTACACATATCTTTTAATTCTCATATTTCTAAAACAATACTTCACAATAACTGCTTTGAGTTATCTGAAAGATATAACCAATCTATAGGGATAAATTAATTTTAGTTGAATCCCTTTTGTAAACTATATTTTATTTTTAATGCTGTAGAGCTACTTCATTTTTGTGTGTTATTGTGGAGCAGTCTTATATAATGAGTATGAATATAAGGACGTAAAATGAGGATGAGCGTTAAACAACTGGCAATTCAGCTATTTTTAGGAACAACAAACTTGAAAATGTTAAAAAGGGGGTTACGTAGAACCTAAGAATTTTAGTTGTACGTATTCCCTACTTATAAATTGTACTGTGTTCCATTTTGACTTTGACATCTATAAGTTACATTGTGAAATGAACAACGGTAAGAGTATGAGTAAAGATATCTTGGCAATTTGTACAAGTTGTAACTGCTAACAATAAATAATAATAGGCACCATACCGAGTAAATTGATACTACTTCTAATAGCAAGTTAACTGCCATGTTTAACATATATATGACGACTTCTACAGATAATCATGATCTTTTACTATTCATATAGCTCCACTGATGTAAAACATTATTTGAAGTAAACAAACCTTTTTTAATAATCTCATTTTTTGTTGAAGAATGCTAACTTCTACGTGATGTTCTCGCCGAGTTCGAAACAGTTCTGCGCGCTCGCGACGTAAGTTTTCTTTTTCTTCTCTTGCTCTAGCTTCCAATTTAGCATCAACTAAACGTCGTTTCTCCATTTGGGGCTTTTTGATTGCAGCTGCAGATTCAGCTTGAAACTGTTTTAAAGTGCCCTGAAGGATCCCAAGCATACGACGTCCCCTATTTAAATAAAGCACAAATTGTATACAAAATGATTGCCTTTATAGTGATATAATGACTGTAAGAGTAAAAACTATGCTACTTTTAAGTCAAGCAAGGAGCTTTGATTAGAAGAGTTCACACATAATTGGGTATATAACACTGGCACATATGAACATGTTAATAAGGATCAATGAAAACAATATAATAGAGGTTGGATTAGCCTAGTGATATGAGTAACATATATGTTTAGAACATTTTCAAAATATATCCGAAATGTGGATTTATCAGTGCATTTACAGATATGCCGGCTTTTAGCATGCTGAACATCATTCAATTCCTAAGTGAACATCCAAACCCAGTAAAATATAATTAAACGTTTGGAAATGGTAACGTAAATCGCAGTCAAGTACAGGTTTAGTTACTCTGCCTCAACCATAGCCTTTTTTTATAAAGACTAGTTATAATAACCCAAGGTAGCCGAAACTACGACAGATGAAATAGGATTTTAACGTATGACCAACTGAACGAAAATCAAGGATTCTAACCAATAGGCTGCCGCTTTACTTGTATATATTAAATACTAAGGGGAAAAATGAAAATATCTTGTATTATTACAACCATAGTTATATGTTTACCTTTCTTTGTCTGACTTTTTTAATTCTTTGGCTGCATCTTCCCTAGAACGAGTATCGGTAACACGAACAACAGAGGATGCGACAGAAACCTATTTCGAAGAAGAAAAATTTATGAAATAAAAAAGTTAGAAATGTTGTCTGATCGATCGCCAAATCACGTGGCTAACAGATATTTAACTGTATCTTTTAATATATATAAGTAAAATATAAGTACCACACACTGATCTTCCGCTTACTTAACTTATTTTTCGTCAAAAACGAGAAGTGAAGGGGTTGGTTGTTGGCTATTCGTACTCATTTTTGTTGCATGACGGTATGAGAGAAATTTTAAAACTTACCACAGGTTTAAAAATACTTTGAGTTGAAGATACAACTAGCGAAAATGACAATAAAAATCACCTTAGTGATAACAAGTCAACATAAGGAATTAAAATTTGGCAGTAATGAAACTCAGGTCTAGGAATGATACAGTGGAACCATTTGAATCGTGGTAATTTTGGAAACATTACCTTGGTTCGTTGATCCAAGTCATAAATAATACATTCCGTTACAACTTAGACTAATAATTGAACTTATGTGTCATAGCTATTTTAGTTGATGTAGGTATGCAATATCATCTACAACAGTGATATTTATTTAGTAATTCCAGTAATCACAAGAGGTATTTTGAGCATACTACGAATCGTCAGTTTCTTGCCTTCGGGAACGAAATTAGTTAAACAGTAGTTGGTTGCTTGTTTGGGCTAAGAACGATACGTATTTGGATGATACACATCCAATCCCAATCGGGCAATATGCCTGACAGTCATTAAAGTAAAGCTATGTCAAATAGCTTCAATGTTTAAAATAATTAGTGAGTCGATTGGCCTATGTAGTAGATAATTTGGTTAGTGAGGATCCCGTAAAAGTTGGTGATTATCACTTTTCTATAAATTCATCAAATATCTCACTTTTAGTTAAATACAATAAATAACACCTAAAACCAGTTTTCACACACTGATAATTTATGCAATGGTTGCCAAGTCATAAATAAAGCTTTCCAAAATTACCAAATAGTCGACTACGATTACCGCTAATAATACAGAAGCAGAATTTATATTTTCAGTCTTGATTAAGAACGAAGCCATTAGAATATTCAAGCAACGATCCCGCTAGTTTGCCTTTAAATTTTTATAGTCAATTATGTGCTAGAAGGTATGATGATGTGTTAAATTAGGACGAAGATTGAAGGGATGGTAACTGTCATGAAACAATTTATGGATCATTATTGTTATTGTATATCATTGATATGTAATTATTAAAAGATTAGATTACAGTGTTTGTATATACTCTTTATATCAAATTTTTCGCTTGACACGTTATACGACTTACTATCCTTAATTTTCTCTCACTCCATTTAAAATCCCCTTCCACTCACAGCTACTTTTGGTCTATTTATGTAACTGTTATTGTTCTCTTTATGGTGTAATTTAGTCTGTTCTGTTCATATATAAACTGTTTGAAGTATAGATATAGTAGAGGCTGGTGATCAACTTCTGAGCTTCAAAGTATCGCAGTGAGGAGATAAAAACCGTGAGCCAATAGAAGCTCAGCTACTGATTCAAGGGTAATACTGCTCGGCAGACCTTTAATTTGTCAAATCGGACAAACTAAGTCATGGAGTAAGTACTGAACTTGGAATATGCCAAATAAGAATTAGTATTCTGGTTAGTGGCTAGTCACGTAATATATTGATCAGCGATCACAAAACATGAGGTTATTTGGTAATGGGTCAAACAACTAAACGTAGTGGGATTGCTGTCTGAGACTTCAAGAGATAGATTTATTCAAATATCTCGACAACAAAAAATCGAATGCCTGCATTAGATTGTTTTATTGAACAAGATAAGCGCTTTGTTCACATCAGTAATCGAGTAATGGCAATCGACGAGGGTTTGATATAGAAGACTCATGTCCGACATCCACAAGTCAACATATGGTAAACAGCTGAACAGCATGTTTTCTTTGAAGAGTCGACAAACTTCGCCAGTTACGGATGGTACAAGTCGGAGAGACTTTATCTAATGTTTTACACTTGCGCTGATAGATTTTTATAATCAGAAATACGTTGCAAATCAGTCATAATGAAAAACTCCATACGAAAAAAGGAAACTATTCAAGCAGCAATCAAGAGAATGTACTTTTCGGTGGAACTTTTCAGAGGACATTTAAATGCTTAAATGTTTCCTACGGTTATAAGATGATGCTTGAAGAGATTAAACCACACGAGACCCTACTGAAAAACGAGAACTGTCATAAATTGTGTTCCAAGAAAAATTATTATTTATAAATTTCTCCTACGGTCTATATGCAAATCGATTGCAAAACACATAATGCATAGATGCAATAGTAAACTCACTCGCAAATCATCATCAATCGGTCGCTTGATATCCTGAAAGCTAGATACAAACAGTTAGTTTAGGCAATAAATACCTACATTTCATCACCATTTAATTTATCCAAAGAATCTGGCCTATTTCCATTAAACGACGAAACGAAGAACAAACCTTAATTGGTTAACCCCAGCAATGCGCGGACGTGTGCGTTTAGAACTCGGCTCTGTTATACGTCTATCAGATGGATCTCGTCCTGTGATTCTTTTGATATCGTTGTCAACGATTTTTAGTTGCTCTTTAGCAAGCTCTAAATTCTTCTTTAGTACATCAATAGATTCCATCCCATTAACGTTTCAAGGGCGCGTAAATTTCTTAACCCCGGTTTTTGTTGCAGGTTTCAATACATATAATATCCAATATCCTTTTCACGAGCTTGTATAAACCAGTGGGTTTTTTGTGTTACATCATTGTTCTATCAGTATGGTCCGGCGTATTTGGTAATTTCTAATGTATGGTAGTATAGTCACTCGACTGCACTAATTATACTCAGTTGGTAGGTGTTTGAGAATTTGTATTTCCTTGATTTGAATGAGTGAGTTTGTTTCAGGACAGTAGGGTTTATGGATACCAGCAGCTATCAATTAAGCAAATTTTTATGGAAAAAATTGAAGGAGCTTTATTATCACAGGTTCCTGTATCTAGTAGTGAAGAATTACGGATGCCTCCAGAGTGAAACCCAACTATATTTATCTAATCAAAGAGTAACATTAATAAATTGTAGTAAAGTACTGTCTTGAGTCAATGTCAAAATTTCAAGTTTCTTCTTGAAATAATTGTCATTTCATTCTGGCAGGTTTCAGAATTCAAGTTCTCGTCGAAAGGTGTGCCAACTGTCCATCTCGATACATTTAACCTCTAACTACCGTGTATTTCCTTCAAGGTTTACGTTGAGAATTAACTAAAATAAGTATTCTGTGTGATGCTCAAGAGTGTTTATAATGCTACAAGTCATTAGAAGATCACCTATGAGTCGCCTATACTCTAACTGGCAAAGATCTATTGACTTGATACACACTTAATAAGGTTTGAACTTGAGTCCTCGAACAGATTTCGTTGCTCGTCGTTGGATATGTTCCGGTGTGTTCTTGTCCTTTTAGGTTTAGGGAGGAAATAGTAAATTACCATACTCAAAGTACACGCAATAAAACTGTCAAACTAAGCAAGAATGCGCTTTACCGTTGCTGGTACTATGTTTGCTTAGACGGAATTTTAGTTAGATTATAGAGTTTGAAGAGCCACAGAAATTTTTCGACTTGGAACAACTCTAGAGGAAATTTATCTTACTCGTGTATGCAGTCTATCGCATGTCTCCGGTGGACTTCTTCGCATTCTGAAGTGTTAAAATTAAGTCTGTTGTCATTCGTCCAAACTGAGGTTGATTCACGTTCTCCTGAAGAGCCAGCTTAAAGCCTTGGGTTCAGATGTCTTTCCAAAGTCTAATATCGTCTACTTAAAGTAATAACTTAGACGATATTTGCTGAAGAAAGTGCGTTATATGGATCTAAAAGTAAACATGTCCTAGTAACTAGATTTTAGGGACTCCTTTAGGACATTATGTAGCCTGAAAAAGATGGAGGTTCACCCTGACCTTGGTAATTCGATCATTTAGATATGAAGTTGGTCAGTCTACTGGAGGTGGCTTAATACTTAATAGCTCGAGGTTATAGATTTGATATATGAGTGACCCTATCATAAGCTTTTGAAAAATCAGGAAAAATCAACCAACCGCAGTCAGCAGGTTGGTTATGCATTAGCGCCTGTTCCTAAAGCGATGCTTATTGGTGGAAAAGAAGATTATGATTAAAAAATAGTTGGAATGCCGTGTTTTACCAAAGACTCCATAGCTCTCAACAGTATATGATGTAATGCTAACGACCGGTAACTTGAAGGTCCATTGAGTTCGCATCCTCTGAAAATTGTATTGTATGCTCCAGATTCTACTGGTAAGGGACATTGACTTCACCTAGAAGTTGTGAGAACATCAAATGAAGCTGTTCTTTCAGGATTAAAACCCCAACAACAGTGAAACTCCTGCTTTGGCATGGCGAAAAGACTGTATGACTTGAAAAACTCCTCTGCTTGGAGGAGAAATTTACAGACCAAATTGATCTGAATTATAAAGCTGATCTTCTCAAGGAGCTTTTTTCCCTCGATTTCTTGTTAGTTTGAACTGTTTATATTCGGTGTGATCAGTTCATTCATACTTTACCCATCATTAACTTTTAGGTTTTAGCATTTGAGGAGTACGACTGCGGGTTGTTTCTAGGAATCACGTGCGTGGGGAGACTGGCTCATATTACGTAAAGAAACCCCAGTGAGCGTTCACATCAAGTTGAGGATGTGAATCCCAGTCCGCCTGTTGTAGATTGTCCTCCGAGGCTGACATAACAAGGTGTTTGAGGCTCCAACACCTGTCATCAGTATGATGTTAAGCCAATAAAATTGAGTTCCGTGATGTAGTGATCATTTTTTCCACAGGGCAACAAGGATTGATAAGTTGTCAGTCAGGTATACGTCGTCCGTTAAGATACAGTCCAAGTGTGGTGGGTTCCAACCTGGAGGCATCCGTAATTCTTCACTACTAGATACGGGAACCCGTGATAATAAAGCTCCTTCAATTTTTTCCATAAAAATTTGCATAATTGATAGCTGCTGGTATCCATAAACCCTACTGTCCTGAAACAAACTCACTCATTCAAATCAGGGAAATACAAATTCTCAAACACCTACCAACTGACTATAATTAGTGCAGTCGAGTGACTATACTACCATACATTAGAAATTACCAAATACGCCGGATCATAATGATAGAACAATGATGTAACACAAAAACCCACTGGTTTATTCAAGCTCGTTAAAAAGACATTGGATATTGGATATTATGTCCCACGACTAGCTGAAGACATCATCCTTTCATCCCAAAGATCATCGGTCAAATTGTCCTCGCTGATTCGTATCAGGCATGACAAGCCGTTGTCGGTACGTGCAGCGGCCAGAACTGCACCAGACACCCAGGAACAGACCACCATGGTAGTTCACGGCATACCCGAACTCACCAACGGTAACCCGGACGAAGCACACGAGCACGATGTGCAACAGTGGCGATGGCTATAGCGTAGCCTATCCCTCCACACCCCGATGGCAGTCTGCATCTCCAGGTTGCCCCGCCCGTCACACCTTACGTCTATCAAGTCACCACGCCTGATGGCTGTAACACTTAGGAACCGGGAAGACCTGACCGAAACACTACAAGCTTGGTACAGTTCGAAGAACGATCTACCTAGCCACATCAGATGTTGTTAGAGCCGACCTAGATCTGTGAGACAACAACAGGGAGGCCAAAATGAACGCACACAGCTGATAGTTAAACTCGGTCAACTCCCTCTGGCACAAGATACGAGTGAACCAACCGCGCGGGCAAGAAACCTGGAGAGGCCAGTTCCCACAGAACTGGGCGACTCGGTTTGAATAACTTGTCTGAAAACCCGACAAAGGCTGATGCTGCAAATGTGCACCAGGTGCTGAGACAAACCACCAAGTGCCTCTATAGCAACGTAAGAGGACTAAGGGGTAAGCTGTTAGAAATCAGGAATATGTGCTCTCAGATGGATCTGAAGATCATAATCCTAACTGAAACATGGCTATCCCCTGACATTGCAGACACAGAAGTGAGCTTACCAGGCATGACACTCTTCCGAAGCGATAGGGAACACCAAACTGGAGGTGGAGTGGTGATATATATAAATAGCAACTTAAAAGCAGAGCGACTATACGACACCCAACTAACTGAGGTGACAGAATCATGTTGGTCTTGTTTCCACTCGAATGGCACGAAATACTTGATTGGTGGGATCTGCCGACCTCTTTCGGGTACTTGGGCCCAGAAAAGCAAACTGATTGAGGTAATTCTGCAACTGCCACTCCTAGGGTTTGATCAAATACTCTTAGCCGGAGACTTCAATACCCCATCTTTAAATCTCAGCAATCAGAGTATAACTCCCACTGGTTGGTTCCAAAGACAACTTGGTACAGCCATTAGAAGCTCTGGCCTGACTGAGCACTTACGCAGCGCCACTAGGTAGACTAAGGAAGGGAAGTCCTCAAACCTAGATTATCTGTTAACGAACGACCAGCTCCTGGTTGAGGATGTTCACATCCGCGCTCCAATAGGTAGTAGTGACCATGGCACAGTCCTGTTTAACATGGTCACAAACGAAACGCTGACACCGGACGATAACGAGCCTCACCTTTGCTACAGTAGGGCAAACTACACACGCATGAGAGAGGTGCTCCTACATGCCCCATGGCCACGGGAGTGGTGGAGGCTGACAGTAGATGATCACTTGCAAGCAGTGAGAGGTATCATCCAAAACGCTTTCGTAGACAACGTACCTCAATCACACCCAAAACGCCAGAACAGAAGAACCTGGGTTAGGAGCAGAACGGAACACCAACCCAATGCCAGCTGGCGGCTTAGGGAACATCCATATCACTCCTGACTTAGTATTAAGGAAACTAAAATCCTTACGCCCAGGTAGGTCACCAGGTTGTGACAAAATCCGCCCTATGGTCTTGCAACAGTGCGCTGAAGCCCTCTGTTCACCGTTATGCAACCTGTTCAGGCATTCACTGGAGTCACACCAATTCCCAGCGGAATGGAAACAAGCTACTCTCTCTCCAATCTTCAAAGGAGGAGATAGAAAGGACCCAACCTGTTACAGACCAGTCGCACTACTACCTATATTATCAAAGGTTATGGAAGGGCTAGTGGACGAACAAATGAGGGAGTACATGGATAAGAATAAGATACTCCATGAAGCTCAACATGGGTTTCGGAAAGGCAGGTCGTGTGCATCTAATCTTCTCATCGCATGGGACAGTTGGACATCCTGCTTGGACCGTAAAATACCAGTGCACGTAGTATTTCTCGACTTTGCAAAAGCCTTTGACACAGTGCCCCACGCACGCCTAATCGAAAAGGTTGTGAAAATGGGCTTCACTGACCCACTCATATCTTGGCTCAGAAACTACCTTGAGAATAGAAAGTTTCGCACCAAGGTAAACAGGATGCACGCGAGTTGGAGAGTATCCACTTCAGGAGTTTCACTGAGGACCATCCTAGGCCCACTCCTCTTCCTGATATTTATTAACGACCTGCTAGGCTTAGTTAGCTCACCGGCACTGATCTACACAGACGATGCGAAAATCTGGAGGTCCATTAGAAGCGAAGAGGATTCGACTGAGCTTCAAAAGGACCTTACATCCATTGAGAAATGGGCAGTGAAAAACGGTTTAAAACTCAACCAACCGAAGTGCCACGTCATGCATTTCCTGCCTCATATGACGCAAACCACCTACTTTCTCAATGGAAGTCCGCTCCCTAATGTCTCCTCAGAGCGCGATCCTGGTTTAATAACCACAGAAAGCCTCCACACGAGTCCGAACTATGTAGGGGATGCAGCCAAGGCAAATGCGACTCTTCACTTTATGCGAAGACAGCTTGGTGCTATAACCCCGAAATTATTTTTAACCCTCTTTAAGACGTACGCGCGCCCACACTTGAAGGTTTACAACGTCATCGCACCCCCTCTGCTTAAAAGAGACATTAATCTCTTGGATCGAGTGCAGAGACGAGCAATCAAATGGTTGATAGGGTTGAAAAATAAACCGTACGACGATAAACTCCAGCTCTTGGGATTATTCCCACTGAGCTACAGAAGAATCAGAGGTGACCTGATTATGGCGCACATCATGTTAAACACACCAAACCATCCCGATGTGAGCATCTTACCGATGCACCACCACCACTCCCCTCGAGGCAATCCTCGAAAGATTGCACATCAAAAAGCGAATACTCAGATTCGTGCACACTTTTTCTCATTGCGAGTCGTCGCAACTTGGAATGCTCTCCCATCCTAGGTAGTTACAGCCCCCTCAGTGGACTGCTTTAAGAAGAGACTTGATAATCACGTACTCACATGCGGACTATCATCTCCCGCTTGGACAAGCTGTGCCTGATGCATATCTTGAGACCCGCTAGTTGTTTCCATTGCCATCTCCTCAGATCACTCAATTAATCTATCTCGCCTATTCCTCTCCCTTGTTTACACTTCGGTCCTCTCTCACAATCTTCACTACCAATTAATAAACTAAATTCATCTATATATTACTCAGTTCTGAAATTTTATTCATATTATCATTAGAATTTTATTCTTACTACCCTTATTACTCTCCACATTGCAACTAACTGATCTCCGGTTTGGTAATGTGACGGCTGCTAGTATCCAGAAACCCTACTGCCCTGAAACAAACGTTTTCATTCAAATCCCGAGACATACAAACTCACAACCAACTGCCAACTGACTAGAATTAGACAGTCGAGTGGCTAGACCTCCATCCATTGGACATTACCGAACACCTGGAACCGTACCGAAAGAAGAAGAATCGAGCACGAAGAAATCAATTGGTTAACACTAGCTCGTGAAAAAGATATTGGATATTGGAAGTTGGGAATATGTTTTGAGTTTTGCGGAACAGCATATATTTTGTCCAGGAAAGGTGAGTACTTAGCATGGATTAGCATAAATTCCACTCATTAAATAAATGTTTTACGGAGATAATATTTTTTAAACAATGTTGGTTCCACGTCGATGGGTCCTTCTTAGTAGTGTGCGAATTCGATTCCAATGGGAAACTATTGATATGGATGTATAATAACATACATTATCACAGCCTAAATATAGTCAGCTGTAGTCTTATTTGCATAAGAAAATCATCCTTTTGGATGCTCTCGGTATTTTAATTTTGTCGCAGTGGTTTATTGTAAGTTTTGTCACTTTACTTTCAGATTGTAATGCAATTTTAAGGGAATTTACCATTGAAAAGTCTGTAGGGAAGCCTGTTTACTCACTTAATAACGATAATAAATGTACATTTCTCACGTTTTATAATCCTCCCTAATTCAATATACGATAGTACGTTCTTAGGAATTACCATCGTTGATTTTATTGTTGATTGTATGCTTTCCAATGTATAAAGCGAGAACCTAGTTGATCATATCTCATGAGATGGAGTACAATTTATACGGTTTTCGGATAAGGTTGATAAGATAGATCATTCGGTTTCTAGGCGGGACACTTTCTGTATGCGCAGTAGAAAAAGTTTCAACGAATCCGTAAATAAGTGCTGGTAATTTTTTTGGGTACACTAATTACTCAAGTTTTACTGCTCAAAACATAACCGAACGTTGATATATACCAGTGGTGTGTAAAGTCCAAGCCTGAGATATCCATGCCAATTTTCCTGCCTACCAGCTATACAAGGCATCTGTATCTCACGAGTAAAGCCCCGAACCTGCATACTTTAAGATGTACATAATTCAGGACGTTATGTCATTTTTCTCAGTTATGTAGAGGAACTTTCTCAATCCTAACTTTTAGTGTTTGTCTTCGGTAGCTCTATTCCACACTTTACTGTTGTAGTGTTAAGTTTCACTTTTACGAAGGTGGTCGGTAAAAATTGACAGATGGCAATCTCTGGACGAATTTTTCTTGGTTAATATGTTGGTGCTGTGTAGTACCGGTTTGGACATATAAATTTCAACTCATTATTCAAACTCTACCAGTTGCTTAAAAGCCACTATGTGTCGCCTCTCGCTGATCACTATGTTTTGTAGATCCAGTAGCAAATGTATATGCACTTTTTATTCCTGTATATACTGAGTTCCGATATCTTTTCTGACCTTTTCAAATCATTGATTTTCAAAACATCAGTGGAACTGCATTTAGTTCGAATATTCTCACTTCACTCTATAGTATTCCGTGAACAATCTTAAATAATATACTAACCAGCGTTGTTCGTTTAACACTCAGGACCAATTTCTATCAGTTTGCATGCGATTAATTTAATCTCTCAATGTAGGTTCATACATGACAGTCATATGGCGTTTTATCACACCACTGTTTTTAATTCTGGTATTTTGGGCCTCTTTAAATCTCGCGAGACAGAAATCCGTGAGGTAGGGTGAGGTGTGACATTTTTAGGGTCGACCTTTTCTAACCCTTCTTTCCTTGTGAAAAGGCAGCATCACTGCAGATGCTGGATGTCCAAGGGAAACACCTTACTGCTGTCACACCCCTCTACAGTCAGCGCTATGTATTCGCCCTCAGACGTTGAGTAGCTGCTTTTAGTCTCATCGTTCTCTAACTGACCTGCCTGGCATGGTAGAACTTACAGGAATATGTTCCTGCAGCTTCTGGTCTTATTGTTCTCCAATTGACTTGTAGGGCATAGTAGGACCTAAGGGAATATATGTTTCAGCCAATGTAGCCCGGTTGGGTCACCACGGCAGGCAAGCCCGACCACCATGTCAAGGTAGCAGCTACAGCAACCTAAAATAATGTATCTACATAAGTACGCAGTTCTACATTGTAACTGACTGACTTACTAACTGAGCAGCTACGATCGGGTTGACGGATACAATAACTCCACCTAAGAGAGTCGAAATGCCATGATTCCAAACCAATGGTGCAGATGGGCAAAAGAATCCTGAAAGAACAATTGATATATGGAACTAATGTTGGTCACCAGCTACCATAAGATATCATCTGATGTTGCTTCACTGTCTTGTGGATTAGACCTGTAGGTCAAAGGTTCATGAAGTGGCTCCTTATGAAAACTACCTGCTTTGCTTTTGGCACACAGACAGTATTTACCAGATAATCTTCCTAGTACTTAGCAACTTTCTCCCTCTGGAAGTTGCCCGACCGAAGCTGCTACCTTGACGTGGTCGGGCTTGTGTATCGTGATGATCCAGCCGAGCTACATTGGCCAGGACATATGTTCCTGAAGGTTCTACCATGCCAAGCAGGTCGGTTGGAGAACGATGAGACTAAAAGCAGCTACTCAACGTCTGAGGGCGAAGTCGAACTGCTGACTGTAGAGGGGTGTGACAGCAGTGAGGTGTTTCCCTCATACGACCATCATCTGCAGTGATGCTGCCTTCTCACAGGGAAGGAAGGGATAGAAAATGTGAACCCTAAAAATGTCACACCTCACCTTACCTCACGGATTTCCGTCTCTGGCGGTAAAGGCTTTTAAAAAGGAGAGGAGCCAACACTTCAAAAACTTCTCGTAAAAAGGCCATGCGTGACCGGCCTCAAGCAGTTATCCCCTTGGCTCTGCGGTCACGCTCCCAGGTCTCCAAGAACAACACTAATCTACCTTCCTTTTCAGGTTCCTCAAGAAACACCATTCCACGGTGTGGGCAACCGGGTCGTGACCACCGCCCTCATACCCGTAACAGCACACGAGACTCCTGCACGTCAATTTGATATACTTGAGCCATTACGAGTTTACCTAGACGGAGAACGAGAGCGAGGATCCGGTGACATAACATGCTACTCAAATCCGATTATCCATGCTTCCATATTGAGCAAAAATAAGAAGACTGAATATGAAGTAGAACCTGTGTTCTACAAGCATCCAGATTGTACGAGGTCCGAGTCAAGAAGAGAATCAGGATCCCGGACTAGGGATCCGGGACCGGGTCCTGGTCCTGATCATAAAACGTTACAGATATTGCGTATTGATACATTTTGGTCGAATAGGAAACAGCATCGAAGTCTGTGACATTGGCAGTTAAGACGGCCAATAAGAAACAACATTAGAGCACGTGACATTGATATCTAGGACGGCCATAAAATTGACCAGTAGGAATTAAGCAATAGGAATTGACCAATAATTCTCTTAGGATATTGGATGAATACCCAAGCACTCCTAGATATAAACTTATCCTCGTCTGAATTTTTCAGGAGTAGACCTTCTACCAGCAAAATCGCTTACTGACTTAGAATATGCCGATGACACCGTTCTATTTGGTGAAGACGATGACAAAATGCAGTCTTCTGACCACCTTAAGCAACAATGCAAGCATGTTCGGGATGTGGTTTTCACCCTCAAAATGCAGAATGTTGCTTCAAGACTGGGTCGCGTCGGTACCTTAACTAGTGATAGGGATTGAAGTAGTCGAACGTGTAGACCGCTTCACTTATCTTGGAAGTCTCATCAGTGCCGATGGCCTGGTGACTGACGAAATCTCAGCACGGATACAGAATGCTCGATTGGCTTTTGCCAACCTGCGTCACCTATGGCGCAGGCAAGATATCCGCTTGCTAACGAAAGGACGAGTGTACCGTGCATCAGTTCTCTCTGTCCTACTATACGGATGCGAAACATGGGCGTTAAGAGTAGAGGACACTCATAGATTGCTTGTCTTTGATCATCGGTGTCTCCGAAGCATTGCTCGTTTATCCTGGGACAACTGAGTAAGCAATGCTGTCGTTAGGAAACGAGTTCTAGGTAAGGATGGCAAATCAGTAGATGAAGTATTGAAATTTCATCAGGTGAGGTGGTTGAAACATGTGTTGCATATGCCTAACCACCGACTGCCTCGACGAGTTATGTTTTGTAGTGTAGGAGTAGGTTGGAGGAAAGCTAGGGGCGGCCAAACCAAAACATGGCAAAATCCATGAATCCAGTCAGATGCAACGTAGAACTTTGTACATAAGTACATCAGTTCATGTTGCCATACCACATCTGCACAGAGAAGTAATCGTCGATTAAAATCCAATAGTAGAAGAGGTAGTAAGGGAATTAGAAGTAATCGGAGAGGTTAGGATTAGAATATATTATTCAAGAAGTATGGTTCAGTGAGAAAAGTTTAGAGAGTCGAAACTAGAGATGTTGAAGAATCCAGAAGATTAGGATTTGAGAGAACACAAAGAATAAATGCACCGTCGCCATTGCGAACGATTTTGAGCCATGTCATTCAGGGTACCTAATCATCGATTATTATCATCTCGCGGACCCCAACCACGTAGCCTACATCTACCGACACGACTCAGTCCACTTGTCAATGACTTCATGGATTTGTGCCATGTTTTGGTTTGGCCGCCCCTAACTTTCTTCCAACCTATTCCTACACTACAAAACAAAGTTCGTCGAGGCAGTCGGTGGTTCGGCATACGCAAGACATGTCCCAACTACCTCAACTGATGAAGTTTCACCACTTCATCTATTGATCTGCCATCCTTACCTAGTACTCGTTTCCTAACGCCAGCATTGCTCACTCGGTTGTCCCACGGTATACGAGCAATGCTTCGAAGACACCTATGATCGAAAACCAGTAACCTACGAACATCTTCTACTCTCATTGGCCATGTTTCACAGCCATATAGGAGAACGGAGCGAACTGCTGCACAGTACACTCGTCCTTTGATTAGAGAACGGATATCACGCCTACGCCATAAGTGACGCAGGTTGGCAAAAGCCAATCGAGCCTTCTATATTCGAGCTGAGATTTCGTCAGTCACCAGGCCATCGGCACTGATGAGACTCCCAAGATAAGTGAAGCGGTCTACACGTTCGACTACTTCACTGCCTATCACTAGTTCAGGTGCCGATGCAACCCAGTCTTGCAGCAACATTTTGCATTTCGAGGGTGAAAACCGCATCCCGAACATGCTTGCATTGTTGTTTAGGGTAGTCAGAAGACTCTG